TTTTATTGTAAAAGTCCCTGAAAAGTCGGGGAATTGCTCGATCTAGTAAAGCTTATCATCCCGGCTGGAAAACTCGGTAAATTGGGAAGTCACTAGGATACATCGCCCGGAAACAGGGAAATGCCAGGGAATGGAATATTACTGTCAGACAAGATAAGAAATCAAACACCACAACACATGTCGTTTTACCAAAATGTCGATTAAGTACGCTTTACTCACATGAAAAATTAATTCATTCGACTTGTAAGCAAGTAAGGAAGGAGGTAAGTAATGTTTTCTGCGTTCGTTCATTTAAACTGTCCGCTCAGCATAAAACAAAAGTCGACGCTCTGTTCAAATCAGACCGTAAAGAGATTTCAGTGTGTTTTACAGAAGACAAATATTTTTAGCGCGCTGGATTTTAATTGACAAGTTTACAAGCTTGGTGCATGAAAATTTTTTGAAGCCCAACTGCCGATTATATGCGGAACGGATAATACTGTTTTCAATGACGGATTGACGGAATGACCAATGTCAATGATTTGGTCAACGTAACCCAAAGATTTGGCCAATGCATTTCAAAGAAAAACTAACTGTAAAATATCAACCGCACGTTTAGATTACTTTGTGATCTACTTCCCATATTAACAGAAAACGTCGGTTACCTTTTACCGTGTATTGCGGTCGAGGTGAGGAAACTCATCAAAGCGCCTTCATTTTCTGAGTAGGCAATCTGCCCATTCAATGAGCACAAATAGTTGTATCAAGGCGTCGCGTCGCCTTGGGTGTCACGTGAAACACAGCGTGTCGCGTCGCTGTAGACTGCGGGGACCTCGTACGAGGAAAGGTGGAGCGCCATCACTTTTTAAGTAGACAACGTGCTCATCCATTAAACACGAATAGTTGCATCATAGCAGACGTTGTCTTAGGTGTTGAGTGAAATAGCGTGTGTCGCGCCACTGTGGAGACTTCGGACCAGGATAGCCAGAAAGTGCCCTCTTTTTTGGGTAGGCAACGATGTGGCTAAGATTTAACGATCGGTATAACCAAAAGAAAAACTAATTTAAAAATATTAACCGCGCATCTACGTTCTACTGCCCAAATTAACATAAAATGTCGGTTTATTTTTCTTAGGCACTGCATTTACGAGGCATCGTATGAGGAAGACTGGATTTTCAACTCGCTCAATTTTCCTCTACTTTTCGAATTTTTTTCGGAATAAAGACTTGGACAAAAACAGGTGACGATGAGGAAAATAACGTTGACACTAGTTTTTGGTAATGCGCGCTCGCCGCTGTTTCGTTCTGGATGGCATCATCGAATCTGGCGAGCAGTCGACCCATTTCAAATTCGCCTACTAACCATGTTCCGTGTCCCGCAATCTGTGCATTTCAGCATTTTCATTTTCATTCTCCGAGTGGATTTTTCCCTCGTTTCCACTGCGCATAGCACGTCATACTCATCGGAGGCGGCATGATTTCTCCTAGCGGCAGGACTTGGTAAAAAGCCGGGAACCGGTCATTCGGACAAGTTTCTGATTTTATGCAAAATACACGCAGCTTGTATTTTTAATTGTAGAATTTACCAGCTGCCTACAACTTCGGGCGCTTTTTCGTCTTTCAACATATTCTCTTTAAATCTAATGAAACCAGATTTTTTACATTTTTCGCCCTTGAGCCTGGTGCATAGTATTGGACTCTCGTGGATCTGAAAAATAGAACTACGATCAACCTCCGATTTTATGATTATATGTATTTCCAAAAATCCGTCATTTCCTATTATACGTGTGTCAACACTTTTCAATATTTTTCTAACATCCATTTTTCTGTCTTACTAAAGTCCATTTCTCCATCTCAAATCGTCTGTACACCCTATCTTCCTGTCGATCGACGTTATTTTTAATTACTAGACTCACAACTGATAGCTACATAGATTATAGCCAGCCAACCACGCGTATGCTTGTTGTCTCACCAAGTCCATATAAGCGTGCGCTGCACTAAAATCTAAGTCTTTTGATCTATTCCATCCCCGATCCATGTGGACACATGTTACGCTCTATTAAGCCCTTCTAGCGTATTGTATTTATAGTGTGTGATTTCTCTTGTAACTAAAAGCTTAGAAGGTAAATTTACATATTTATATATATATTTATATTACATATTTATATTATTAAAATCACGAAGAGGGTCTTCCCATTTGAAAATTAAATGTTGCTCCCCCAAGGGAGGCCCCCTAAAAATTTCAGGGAGACAAAAAAGTAGCTCACTTTGACCTAGGAACATTCCCCAAGTTTCAAATCTTTACCTCAATTAGGTAAAAAGTTAGAGGGGGTGGAAGGGACTTTTGGATCACCCTGTATATTTATAGCAGGGATCTAACGAAACTTTGCGACCGTTTTTTTCGGAATTATCAATACGATCAAAACTAAACTAAGCATGGTTCTTCACTGCTATGAGGTCTACATCAAGTTTCATTTTTGGTGAAAATCGGCCCATCCCTTAGTTCCGTATAACGTCAAGGTCAATGGGGAATGATTTTTCTAACTCGTCCGATCTTAGTCGGTGATACCTCAAAAAACTCGTCTCGCCTTAGCCTTCAAAACCACCCTATATTTATTCACCCTCTAAAACCGTCCTTCATCCTGAAAATCCCAAGTTCAAGGGAGACGATTTTCCGACTTGTCAGGCTCATTAGGCACAACTGTTTTCATAGAAACGATTAGTCGAAACCTACCCTTCGTTTCCACTGTGGCTGGAAAGCGTTTTTTATTTATTCTAGTGTTCTTTATTTTGGTGCAACTTTCTCATAAAACCCAGATCAATATAGTGATAAACGTTGTCTCTAAATTTCGTCTCTTCAATTATCCTTGCAGTTTGTTAATCCTGCGTTTAAAGATTATCTGGTGCCGAAACGGTTAAAGTTTTTATGAACTTTATTTGAATCATCACTAAAGAGAATGAGATTAAGTTTTCCGTCAAATCTCATGCATCGTGTCGAGAACTAACTTTTATTCCTAACACGGTGCCGAAAATCCGTGTTGTCCAACCCATATTCCTAACATGGTGCGAAACCCTGGCATAATTTATTTATTAAAACTATGCATGTGACGAACCGCCTTTCTCTCCTGCCTGCACTACAATTCGGAGTATTCAACTTTTGATCAGATATTTTTTTTTTTTTTTTTTTTTTTTATTCAATTTTCACAAGTGAAGAGCCTGCCTTTATTTTTCTCTCATCCGCCCGCCGTTCGCCGCGTGTTTTTCGAAGTGCCTGAATTTTATTCAGATGAGCTGTTTTGCGGGGTTTTACCCTTTTTATCCACGCGTCTTAATGACGAAGTGAAAAAAAAGATGACCGCATTTCTTTCTGGAATCTGACTGCTTTCTCGACCTGGACTTACACCGTGCTCATTCACCTTAGAATTAGACCTGGACCCCTGGACCTCGAGACTCGCCCATCTTTAGTGCTGCCAACAACCTTCTTCAACTCTACCTCAACGACACTCTCTCTAAGGCATCTCGTAACCAATACAGGCCACGCATGAATTTTTCTTTGTTGGCTAGGAAATTCTCCCACCCTCGCCCTCGATTTCTGATTATTTTATTTCACTTGTCTACCAATCTTGTCATTTTTTTCCAGCAGTGTTAATTTTTAAGTTTTTGCATATTTCACTTTTTCAATTTCTTGACTACTTAATGTCCTCCCCTCGAATTCGAACCGCTCGCGATTTTCCATTACATGACAGAGATATTTTCTTCTTTACTTATTTTCTTATTTCTTTTCTTTTTCTTCATTTTTCTTCAATCCCGTGCTCATTATTTTTCAATTTGATTTTTCTAAATTGTCTTTACCTCTTGCTCAGTGTTTTCTCGTTCCGTCAATTCCTTGAACCTCGAAAGAGTAAGCTCGGTTTGACATTTTCTCCAAGAAAACCTGTATCTCTTTCTATCAAATTTTGCCCTTTTTCTATCAATATTCTTACTTCACTTTTTTTATCTCATTTTTACCAGCTTTTCTCCAACTTCCTTTTAATTTCTATCTTTATTCACCGACCAATAAGTCTGACATGTTCACCTCTCACCCTTAATGCGTTTTCATTCTTCCGTTTCCGTTGTTGAGGTGAGGTTCTCTCTCGCCATCCATTCGTTCTTTTCATCTCACCGTTCTAGGTTCAATTCTCTGACCCTAGAATGTCATCCCTCTCGGGTTTTTCATAACCCATCATCGTTTGGTTCACTCTGATGTCCCTATGATCACCAAACAGGAGGGACATTCCGACTAGCTCGCGTCCCTCCACTTCATTTCCTCAGGATCTCCCACGATCCGCCCTTAGGATCTTCCATGATCCGCCTTTTCTTACGCAGCTTTTCTGCAACAGAAACTTCTCCCCCGACCAAGAAGTCATCATCCATTAATGGTAGGACTTGGCGGTCAGGTTGTCATCATTACCGTGAACAGTCACCCATCGGTATCACGCAATACAGGGAACCCGTTCCAGTATAATCCCTAGCTACTCACCTTCACTCCGGAAACGATCCCTCCTTCTTTTTTTTATTGTTGTGATTATACTCACCCTTGTGTATCCCCCTCACACCTCTCTCTCACAAAAGTGATACTTTTATTAATTTCTCATGTTAATATCTATCTAGTGTCCATAACCAAGAATCAATCATTCGTGTTTTCTATTATCCGCGGTTTGCTTTCACAGATTTTGATCATCCACGGTTTTAGATCGCACGTGGTATTTGCATATCCGCGGTTTTCGTTCATCCTTGGCTTGCGATCATTCGCGGTGTTCTGTTGCACACAAAATGGTCCTCGATTATACGCGATTTCCGATTGTCCACAACTTTCGTTTATAAGCGTGTGGAGTGTCCCATTTTACACGGGATTTTTGATTTCCCTCGTTTTTCTATTATACGCGGTAAATCTTCCTACTCGGCAAAGAATGAGCTCCACTGTAAACTTTAGCGAATATTTTTCACAGATTTGTACTAATAGGAAATGTTGGTCTTTTGCAGGGAGCAGAACAAGAAATGTGGCTGACAACGAAAGAGGCGAGCACTCTTGGTGCGGAGGAGGTAGCGGCCAGCTTACGGGTCGACCACCGGACGGGTCTCTCATGGCGGGAAGCCGAGCTCCGCCGAAAACTTACAGGCCACAACGAGTTCCTTATCAAAGAAACAGATCCCACGTGGAAAAAATACTTAGAACAAGTAAGAGATGATCTCTTGGCCTTCTTCAAAATCCCGCTAACTTACTCGGCCATTTTCCCAAGCGGAGCCGCGGAGGCAGAGAAAAACAAGAGCACAATCGACTGATTCACTCTTTCTAAATAACTCCACTCGAATTCTAGCAAGTTGAGAAGCTTAGTCGCCCGCAAGTATCTGACTCTTTTTAATAGATAATATTGCGGTGATTCATCTCGAGCTATGCCCGTATTCGAGCTGGACGTATTTACGCTTAAAGGAACTATGTGCATAGGCTTCATATACAAAATGCTTCATTTTAGCATTTAAACACGTTCAATCTATGTGGCATGCACCGCATCTCCTATGTCAAACATTTTGGAATGTACATATAATAGAGTCTCGATTATCCGCGATGCGCGCTACCACCGCGGGGGCGGGGCTACCGCGGATAATCAAAAACTAATATATCTAGAGTCTCGATTATCCGCGATGCGCGCTACCACCGCGGGGGCGGGACTACCGCGGATAATCAAAAACTAATATATCTAGAGTCTCCATTATCTGCGATGCACGGTACCAGAGCGGGGGCGGGGCTACCGCGGATAATCAAAAATTAATATATCTAGAGTCTCCATTATCTGCGATGCACGGTACCAGAGCGGGGGCGGGACTACCGCGGATAATAAAAAACTAATATTTCTAGAGTCTCGAATATCCGCGATGCGCGGTACCAGGGCGGGGGCGGGACTACCGCGGATAATCAAAAACTAATATATCTAGAGTCTCGAATATCCGCGTTGCGCGGTAACAGGGCGGGGGCGGGGCTACCGCGGATAAGCAAAAACTAATATATCTAGAGTCTCGAATATCCGCAATGCGCGCTACCACCGCGAGGGCGGGGCTACCGCGGATAATCAAAAACCAATATTTCTAGAGTCTCCATTATCTGCGATGCACGGTACTAGGGCGGGGGCGGGGCTACCGCGGATAATCAAAAATTAAAATATCTAGAGTCTCGAATATCCGCAATGCGCGCTACCACGGATAATCAAAAACTAATATTTCTAGAGTCTCCATTATCTGCGATGCACGGTACTAGGGCGGGGGCGGGGCTACCGCGGATAATCAAAAACTAATATATCTACAGTCTCCATTATCTGCGATGCACGGTACCAGAGCGGGGGCGGGACTACCGCGGATAATCAAAAACTAATATATCTAGAGTCTCCATTATGTGCGATGCACGGTACCAGAGCGGGGGCGGGACTACCGCGGATAATAAAAAACTAATATTTCTAGAGTCTCGAATATCCGCGATGCGCGGTACCAGGGCGGGGGCGGGACTACCGCGGATAATCAAAAACTA